CACACACCTTTTCCCCCCTCATGTGGACTCCTGACTCTTTCCACAGCCTTTCTGCTGCTACTCCTTGACTCCTTCTCACAGCTGTCTTTCAGCCATACCCCCGATCTTAGGGTAGATATCTAGGTAAGATCCAACACCTATCTATCTCTAATAAAGCTAAAAATTTCGGAGGTTCCGTGTGCAAGTTGCGCACGTTAAAGATCCCTTCGTTTTCCAAAATCGAAAAAGAGTAGACTTCCTATCTAAACTGAAAATGTTTAATGCGTTCCGCACCCTTATAATATGACCTCATGCAGTTGCGAAGCGCGCAAAACACTTAGAGCAAAACAACAAAAAAGAGAGGAGTCTTTGAAAGACAGGGTTCGCTTTATCGCACAGTACAGTCACAGATCACTTCGGTGAGCTTACGGGTTTGGGGGTTCGAGCCTACTTAGCTCATCAGTTCTTCGTTGTGTCCTTGGGAAAGACACTTTACACAAATTTCCAATTTGGTTCGGTCCTTATACTTTTAATGCCCTGCCCGGAAAAAATATGTAGGTTTGGCGAGATCGACTTTCAACTTGGAGGTCCCCCCTTTCAAATAACCTAACAGTGTTGATAGTAGGGTTAAACCAGGCGCGTTTCGTCCATAGAGCACGTCGTGCAGTGCCGCCCAAATTTTTTTAATGTTCTATCACGTAAAACACCCACAATAATAAAAGAAAAGAAACCAGAAACAAACACTAGCCAAATATTATATCAAAACAAGGCCCTCTCTGGCGATATAACTGTCATTTCTGTGTCTATAGTGCCGTAAAATATCTACTATGCCGTGCCAAAGTCCACGCGCTTTAGCTAAACATAATAGGATATTCAACAGTGTAACCTGACCTACAGATTGCTCTAGGGGATAACCCAAGCGATGACGACACTCGTAGCGAGTTTTGCGGGGCATTAATATTAATAAGACTGCACATCTCAAATGTGCTCCTGCCGAACAGAGCCGAAACATAGCCCACAGAAGGCAGTCTAAAAATAAACACGATAGACCGTACGCTATTCTTTGTCAATATTATGTGAGCCCCGGAGCAATCCAGCGGAGTGCTCAAGTGAATTGTGATTGGTTCATTGTCTGTCTTTCCACTAGGCTATGCCTATTTTAAGTGACTCTGTGGCCGTGAACCTGAGGGAGGTGGACGTGACCTTCCTATGAGTTGTGCCTTTGAATGGTTTTATAGTGGAGTAGTGAAAGTTATTACTTGAGTGTTCAGTTCCAATACAGGATGAACGAAATTGATGTTTAGCTAACAAACAAATTTAGTACTAGATCTAGAAATAAAAGCGACAAGTAAAAAGAATGAAAATAAAAGCACGAGGTCCTCCCTCACCAACCCAAAGATCCTAAAATTATACACCGTCTCATTCACTATGCCTTTGACTATCTTCAGGATGCAATAGCTTAATTGTGCACGTCCACTTTTTAGCCCCACGAGCCGCATCCGGGTTAAACTTATACAATTTCACATTTCACATTTCACATATTTCTTCTAAAATGAACTAGGCCAAAATTATATTCTACACACCATGAATCAGTGCTTGTAAATCACTTTAAAGCCACCGCCCACTTTGCCATAATAACAAGGAGAAGATGGAGATGGATTGGGCATGTCCTGAGAAGAGAACCAGACTTTATTGTAAAGACTGCACTCCACTGGACACCCGAAGGACATTGCAAGAGGGGCAGACCCAAGGTGACCTGGAGACGCACAGTAGAGTCTGAAATGAAGTCCTGGAACCATTCGTGGGGGACGTTGACCAAGATGGCCCAAAACAGAGAGAGCTGGAGATCCTTTGTTGCTGCCCTAAACGCCAGATGACGTAATGGGTGGTAAGTAAGTAAGTAAGTAAGTACGTAAGAGGCTAATAATTTCGTACCACCAACCTACATAATTTTACAGGCAGGACATTAAAAATAGATGTCTCTCCGTGGTGATTCTCCACAACTTTTTTAAAATACCAAAATAGCCCACCCCAGGTGATATCGCTAAGGTTTGCAAGCACCTCGCTTAAAGTGCACATCAAATCACAAAAGAAAGTGTATAATAACATTATTTTTTAATTATTTTTTTTTATTTCATTGACTTGTTCGTGAATACAACAAGTTACAACTCTATTACATGTATAGTGCAACCTGTAGTATACAAAAAGCTGATTCTTTCTGAAATATTAAAGTCAGTTCTTAGAGCACATACAACGCAGTGCTCATCGCAAAATTTAAAAATCAATGTTGCATTATGTCGTACCATAATAAAACAATGATGTATGTATACACACAATATGATATGTATATCATAATGTATATTACATTTTCAGGAACCTAAATCTTATTCTTATTGGCTACAAATCTTGCTTTGTCTACTTTCTGAGCATACCTTTATTTACAGCGTAAACAGAAAATCTATTTGCTGATAAAAATCGGCGGGTTTTGCGCAAAAATCGGCTCACTTAAACTCAGGAGACAAGTAAAAATAATGCCTCTACTGAAGTGCTCAAACTCAAACAGCAGCTATGTTGCCCTACTGAAAATACCATCAATATGTGTGGTGGTTAAGTTTTTGCATCCTCATCGACACAGTTGATATAATTTAAAAAGCAATTTGAGGCATAAATTCCTTTTTTTTCTGTGGAAAACGAATGACACCGCAATATGGCAAAAAATCCACAGAGACCAACTTTTTCATTAAACTAAAACTTACGTCATAATCCATCTAATTAGACAATAACTAGCTTAATATATCACTTGAAAAAACTGAAAGAAAGTCAAACCCCTAGAAAATTTCTCGTATCATGTACATCGCCCGTTAAGTTATTTAAATGGCGTCAATGTGGGCATAGAACAATAACAAGTCAGACAGTGTACCACAAGTCACAATTATTTACTAAGAAGAAAATTTCAACTACGTTTAGTTCAGCTTGAACGTTTTGTAAAGAGCTCTCAACCTAAGCGGTGTGTATTGTTAATGAAATTTTTAACTGAGTCAAAGCTGGGTAATGTTTGTAGAAACGATGACTGCTTTTTTTTAATTCTTGACCAGATTGCTAATAAACGGTTGTGCATAATAAAAGAAACGCATTATGAATCCGTATTTGAGACTTTTGTGTGTGCGTGTGTGTTTGTGTGTGTGTGTGTGTGTGTGTGTGTGTGTGTGTGTGTGTGTGTGTGTGTGCGTGTGCGTTTGTGTGTGTGAGTGTGTGTTTGTGTGTGTGAGTGTGTATGTGTGTATGTGTTTGTGTGTGAACGTTTGTGCGTGTGAATATTTCCTTGTGGTGATATGTATAAATATGTATAACACTATCATCATTTTGCCTAAAGAAACATTATCATTATTAAGTTTTTCTAAAACTTCAAAGGGGAACTTCAGACTGAAATCGGCCCCAAGCTACATGTACCAACTCATCATGAAGATCAAACTCTTTTGCCATCATTTTGTTACAGTCAAATGTTGTCAAGGAAAAAGCATCGTTGAATTTAGATTGCTTCACAGTTAATACATCGTCTTGTTTCGGACTGCTACAAAAAGCCAAGAGATAACCCTGAAGGTTTTTGAAGTGTTCCACCTCCTGAAAGAAATCTCCGCGCTCCTGCTGAATCTTGGTCCAGAAAAAATCCGAGAATACCTTGTACAATATGACGTCAGCGGATTGCCATTTCCGCAAAGTGCTTTTGTCCTCTGCGGAGAGGAATACGCCCTCAGAGGCTTTCCTCGCCCCTTTATTGTTGTGGAGGTAAAGAATGTCTCGAAGTTGCCAGTTCAAGCGTCTTTTCAGCAAAATCAGAGAGTGGTCAAAATACTCAACAAGCATTATTAAATCAAATTCTTCCACAAGTCGCTTAGCGTGTTGTAAAATCTCAGTGGGGTTGTTGTAAGAAGATTCGGGAATTCCGAAATCGTAAGACATAGCGTTGTAAAAGTAATGACTTGTTGTATAGTTTTTAGGGTTTTTCAGATACTCTGTAAAAATGAACTTTGTAGAGTTTGGACTCGGATTCCGCTTGTGCAAGCGTTTCACCAGACCGTAGTAAAAGGCCGCCGATAAAAACCTGCTCTCTGGCTCCCGTATAATGGCCAGATACACAGTCGATTCCCTCTCCAAGACGGATGACCAGGACTTGCGGTTGTACACAGCGTGATTCAGAATCATGTTGTAAGTTTCTCCATTCCGTACTGGAATGATATCGTTCCCACTGAAACCGTTCCTATCTCCAAGATAATGATAATGTGGGTCAGTTGTTTTGTTTTTGTTCGGCAGAACAACATTCAGTTGATGTGTCAGGGCGTACCTTTGGAGAATATTCTGCACAGTCGTGCTCCCTGCTTTGTGTACTTTGAGGAAGGCAACGTTTTGTAAAGTCTGTTTGGGCGCTGCTGCGTCCAATTCTCTAAACGTATCGTTTTCTTGAACGTGCTTGCTAACATCTGGAGTGGAAGATAAAACTGGCACTAAAACGTCCTCAAAACTTGCATTGTGTGTCTCGTTGCCAGTAAATGCAGTCTTAAGTTCATCAATAATTTTCAAACTTGGAGATGCAGCTAATATCTTTTTCAATAATATCTCGTATTTGCTGGTTATATTTCCAAGTGCTAAAATATAAGCTCTAACTGTTTCTTTTCCTAAAGCGGTTGATGGCATGTTAAATAACAACGCTGCTCTGAAGTCGACAGCGTCGTCGTTGGTGTGACGGACAGATGTCTCCAGTTCTTGCAGTCGCTGATGAACATTTTCCGATGTTTGTTCTTCTGACAGTGATCGTTCAACTGATGTGGCAGGTTCTTCGCTGTCGGCTGTTCCTTCAACCTTTTCGCCGATGGTAAGCTCCGTTGCTGTTGATTCTGTATAATGGAAAAGACATTAAAAAGTTTAGACTGCATGACAACGTACGGTACATGTTTAACTCTTTTTCGATACAAATAATTTATTCAAAAGGTGAAACATCATGTGAAGTCCATCTCCGATAGGATTGCGCAGGTCGAGGGAAGTTCATGAATAGATGCTTGAACAAATCTATATTTCAAAATTGAAGAGGTGCGAAAATGAAATGTGCTAAGTCAAATTTTGCTTTAAAAAAGAGTTCTTGGTATGAAGACACACGTCAGGGAGTACTACAAAACATAGCATTGGATTATAAACTGGTGTTTGCAAGTATTTGCAGGTATAATAAATATCGTCACACTCATAAGATAAATTAGTGCTCAAATGACCTTATGCAGTTGCGAGCGCCGTAAAACCTCTACTAAAACAAAAACATAAGATAAATGCCAAAGTCCTTTTTAGCAATTTTGAAAAAATGAAAAAGAAAGCTGTTTCTTTCGAACAATTCACTCTGTGAAACGCTTGAATTTTAGTATACTCAGTTGATTTTATACTTTGATTTATTCTTTTGTCCAAGTGAACTATATTGCCAAGCTGGCTCTGTTCTTCATTTCAGAACCAAAAACTCCAAACCGGTCAAAAATGACTAAAACAAGTATGTGAAGAGTGTAACGATATAAAAAAATTATTCTATCTAGAAGTATTGCACATTATAAACAATAATAGTAATATCATTTATAATATTGCATTGCGAAATAGTATGCCTTTGGAGCATACATTTCTCCATGAAGACAATAGAGACGTTGGGTGTTTGTTGTTGCTTTTTTTCTTGTGTGTGCATTATGTGTGTGTATGTGTGTGTGTGTATGTGTATGTGTGTGTGTGTGTGTGTGTGTGTG